CATGGGAGTACATGAACATCTATTAGATTATAACAAGGGTGATGGGAGACTGGAAAACAGGTAGCCCAAAGAAGAGCTGATCTCTTATAGACAGCAATTAAGCACAGACAGTATACGTCCTCATTTTTTACCTCTTGCATGCAGTTCTATTTTTAAGGTTATTTGTTCATGCTTCTGTGTATACTCTAAATATCTAATAAGCACTATCAGTTTGATCAATGACCAGGGGAACCCCATATGGAAAGTGTCATTAAGAAAGTCTCATCCAACAGCCTAGTGGAAGAGTAGAAAGGTAAGGTCCACGTCTAAGGAAGCCACATGGAGACTTGTATTAATTCAGCAATTCAGAGCTAGAACTTTTTTCATAGTGGTAGTGGGAAAGAGCAGGATAAAGAGAGTCAAAACAGCAAAGAAAAATTAAATACAACATGATGACCCCCAGGATTTGGGAAAGGAAAGAAGGAATAAGTCAAAGACTACTCTAAAGTTCCGAGGAAGGGCAACTGAGAAAATTATCACTGGAAAGAAAAGATACTGGAGGACTGAATGTAATAATTATGTATTTTTTTTACAAGAGGTGCTTGTGATGGCAGAGAAATCCCTAATAGAGCTGCATCATGGGTTTGTGGTTACAAGAGATGTTCCTGGAGAGAATGCAAGCTAGATTTGTGTGTTGGGAAGTTATTCATTCACTTAACAGGTATGTATTGAGGACCTGCACATGCTAGGGCCCGAGCTGTATAATTCTACAACAGAGAAACAACAACAAGAACAAAAAAACCCAGATATACTCTCTAACCTTGCAGAGCTTCTAGTGTAGTAAAAGAAGCAGGCATTAATCAAATGACCGACTTCTTAATGTCAATTTGTAAGATGCATTAGTTGTCTTTTTAAAGGATTTACACATAGACACTGAATAGATAAATTTCCTGAGGCTCACTGATATATTAGATATTAAACTGAGATTCATTCCAACGCTTCTGTAAAAGCGGGAGAGTCATCCTGCCTTCCTCTTGGTAATTGTCAAGTTAAGACATAAGACAAGAACACCCAGCACACAGCAGGGCTTTGCCGATTCCAGGTCACCATTAAGTTCTCAGCAAACTCAATATCTTTAACTTACAAAATGGGGTAGAGTCCACCCTCGCCATTACCCACAGAATCATTTTTCAGTCTTCTCGTGGAAAAAATGTCTTCTTAGCTCTCATGCACCATACGTACTTCCTAACCTCTCTCTTAGGTTCCCTTGCTGTGCTCTGTGGTGGGACCGTGGCCAGGGGGAGGTGAAGCAGTCACAGGAAAAGAACTGGTATGATTCCTAGAATTCACTTCACAGCCCAATTTTTGCCAAAAGTATTTCCATTCACTCCTTAATTAACAGAATGAGTTTAACACAAAACTGTCTGATTTGAGATTTATTTTCTTTCTATGTTCTTGATCGCATACTGGTGAAAATGTTCCACTAGTTAGTGGCCCCAAAAGGAAAAAGTAAAGAGTAGCCAAACTTCGCCAAAGAAATCATTCTGATAGCACGTGGACTGTTACTATAAAGGCACTCTAAGGTATTTGCCAAGAATGCAATTAAAGAATAAAATAAATTATTTCCTCATTTGTTATCAGAAATAAAAAGGACTTAAAAGTAGAAGGATTTTAAAAAATGTGACTCAGAGAAACTTCTGCTATGAACTTCACTTGTCCAGGAGCTGTCTAATTACAGTAAAATTAAACAAGATCAATGTATTTTCAGTGGTGGCTCAAATGATGACAAATCTACACAAATAAATTCAGCATGACTATTAAAAATCAACATAAAGTATTTCATTTTATGTCTTAAGATGGTCTATCTAGTAACAGACAATTTTAGGGCATGGTAAAATATGAGAAAAATATAAATTTTCATTTTCTCATATACCTGTTTCATGATTAACATTAATTTTAGGAACAAAGACCAATAATACTATACTCTGGACATGGTAAACAACACAGAGTAAAATTTTAAAAAATTAAGAAACATCAATTTTTTTTATGACACACATTATATCCGTTTCTATGTGAATAAAATTCAACACAGTTTATGAACTTGAGAAAATTCCATCCCAAATGTCTGACAGTTAGTATACATACACACAGTATTTCTAAGCAAACATTTTTACCTTACTTACACTGCATGGATTTGTAAATTCTTTTCCCCAACCTACCAGTCACATCTGCAGCCCAAACGTTTCTTTCCAAAAGAGGAATGAAGGCCAAGCAAGACAAAGAATTTGCTGATACACATATGTCACTCCAAGAATTTTCCTGACAAATTCTCCACACCCAATTTAATTACTTCCCTACTGTAAAAACACTTTCCATCTGCATTTATTCTAATCTTTTCATATCCAAAACCAACACACCATAAAGTTAGCTAAATAAATGAATGACATTAGCTTTAGGTTCCAAGTGAGGCAGCATTTTATAAGGCAGTGGTCTCCAGCTCACATACATTTTATGCTGATACAGTATTTCATTTGTAGTTCAGTTATGTACTTTAGATTCGAATTATCTAGCCTTAGGCTTTTAAATCTCAATGTGAATCTCTCTCTCTCTCTCTCTCTCTCTCTCTCTCTCTCTCTCTCTCTCTCTCTCTCTCTCTCATACACACATATGGGAGGGGGTAAGAGAGAGGAAAGGAGAATATATGAATGTTCATGGTTTTTAATGAGCAAAAATTAATGTAGCCATGTACGTATATGCTAAAGTAATGCTACTTCGTGTCTATAATAAAGGCATTCTGGTGTGGGTTTTTTTTAAAAAAATAGGTTATAAAAACTAAATATCAGTACATGCATATAATAAACACTGTTTTTTTGGCGTTCCTTGATTCATTGACTATTCAGTAAGTTGTTGCATGCTTTTTGTGCACTGTTTTTTAGCATATTTTTATTCTCTTCTTGGTATTTCATCAATGCATGAACTAAGTGCCAGTTTTGGCACTCCAATACCTAATACCTGTGAATAAACAGAGAATTCAAGAATAGCCACATCTTTATGTTACCAGAAGTATTAGGGTGTGAAGATTGACACTTGCACCAAAAGCTAGGAGATGAGACCAGCCACTATCAAAATGTTTGGGTTACCTTGAATGGATAAATGATTTAGATCATCGTGAAGCCCTCTCCATCTTGGATTTCAATAAGTAAGGATTTTGTTTGTTTGTTTGTTTTTGATATTACAAAGGCTTAAAGTCCATAGAAATTGTTTTGTCTAACTTTATCTGTTTATATCCACAGTAACCAACTCCTGGTTTCCAGGATGTCAAGCTACTTTTCAATTAATCTACATCATATATTATATTGATATATTGATATAATATGGCTATTAATATGGTTATTTCAAATAGTATTTAAAAATAACCATTATTTGCCTTACATATAAAATTGTACCTTTAAGGTCATGTAAGCTGGGATTCGCTAGATAAAAGAGAATGATTTAATTCTAGGTTTAAATACACTGAGCTCTACTCTTTCTCTGTTTCTTCTCTGACTTAATGATATCGGTTGTGAACACTGTCAGTTTGGTGGCTTTCTGCTTGTTTAAAATTTATATAAGCGTACCACTGCCCCCAAATCCTGAGTGGCCTGAAGGGTAAAAAAATGTTTAAATTAATAATAAATAAAATATTAACAATAAGGATGATGCTGCTGTTCTGTTTTTCCTACTAACCTTGAAGAACAGCTGCTTGGAAAAAAAAATTGTCCAATTACTTAAATAACAAGCCATAGGTAGGTCACTCATAGAGGTCAGTGAAATGATCAGGAAGGAAACGGCCACGAGAAAGAGAGGTTGGGCTTTTCCTTCTCTCCATGTATCCCGGAATTACTCTGCTTTGTAGGAAAAAATTTCATGATTTATCTATGTCCTAATGCGCCAATAAGCTAAAGCTATTTAGATCTATTTTGATACCTAATTATAAAGCAAAAAAAAAACAAATGTCAAAAAACTTTATAGCATATTACATACTTTTGATGATCCAAAAGAAAAGACTATATACAATCATTTTAGTATCATATGTATAGGGATTAAGTATAGGAATGTCTATTGCACAAAACAAAGGCAGAGTTATTTAAACTGTAAATGGACTGTACCATATATACTTGCTATCCAAAAATATATAGCAGTCACTAACATTTTACCTAGATCTATATTGTTTCATTATACCAAGAAAATCACTATATATATCGTATGCTGGAACAAGTAGGATTAAAGAAACTAAGACCCATCTTACCCTTAAATACAAATTTCTTAATGCAGTAGGTTAAGATGTATCATTCATATCAAATTAAGCATCTGTGTTTATGATGGTAATGGTATTTACAATACTTTCACTTAACCATTTAAAAATCGAGGCCCCGGATTTTGAAATGAAAATGCGTAGGCCTGAGAAAAATCTGTTGGGCATCTGGTCCAACCACAAACAACTAAAAATTCCTATACGTTACAGCCTGACCACTTTAATTTATCATTTCTACAGGCTCCAAATAACCACAAAGAGAATGTCGAGTTCATTTTGATTTTTCCAATTTGATACCATTTGTAAAACCTAGCAATGTTTGATTGAAAAGAAAAATAAATATTGTAGTTTTTTTTTTTTTTGGTAAACATAGATTTGAAAGTTATTCAGTTTGTGGCACAATTTCAAATGTGAATACATGATCAGAAGAGATTAGTAAGAAAAATTAAGGTGAACGTAAAATAATGAATGCTAAGGGAAGATGTTTTCAAGTATTTCTAGCAATGTTTCTACTATTATTCTTTAAAGGTGACTTTTAATCATTGTCCCTTTTTATAAACATTATGATTAATGGCACCCTAGCCAGGATAATATACAATTTCCATACACATAAGTTCCTAAAGAAACTCAATGTTTCAAATCACAGTTGCATCTGGAATATAACATCTTACTAGTTCTCTAAAATTGCAATTTTTCTTAGAAAGTCTTGGCTTCTATTTTATTGTACCTGGAATTCGGAGGTTCTGAAACATCTGATTCTGTGCACGTTTTCTTTACCTGCAAGAAAAGAGTATGAGTTACCCTCATATGAAAATACAACTTCCTCATTCAGGTTCACACACTTGTTAAACTTAAAGTGGGTACAGCTTTGCTCACCATGATCTCTATAAAGTACTCCCCACATTTTACAGCGGCAGCACGCAGTACTAAATAGTGTATTTCATTATTTTCCCATGAACAGCTGCCAACGGCACTTCCCTAGACTCCATTAGTATATAAAATGTTCAGCTAAAATAGCTTGGGACTAGCTTAACTAGGAACAAAGAAACCAAAGAACCAGGTTTCCCACTTAGGAACTAGAAAGCCATACTGTTCTCAGTTCACTAAGAAATGTTTTTCCAATCGATACGGCTCTGTCTCCCACTAAAGCACACAATAATAAACACCAGGGTCTGGGGGCAAAGCACAGTGTTAGCTCAAGCATTCATATATTAATTTTCATTTTCTCCAACCAGTGGCTGTATGTTTTCTATATTTCTCAGCATATTAATTAAGTTTCGGCATTGCTCACAGACTTCTCACATATATTTGCAGCATGTTTTGCAGACCATATTTCAACTTTGTGGTTTTTAACCCACAAAAGGGAAAGAATGAAAATAACTTTTACTTCAAGGACATGTTATCCATTTTTGGACAATAGAGTGCAATATGTTCTCTAAAATAAGGTGAAATGCAAATCCATTGCCTTTCACAATTTAACTGCAAGCAAAGATACTTACATTTGATTATTGGTCTTAATGACACACACACACACACACACACACACACACACACACACATACACACATGCACCAAGTAGACTCAATTTCAAAAATCCCTTGTTAATATGAAGCATTGACAATACACATTTCCAAGTTCACTGTCATATACTCGGGGTGTTTATATTGCCAAGGTCTATCTATGCAACCTACAGAATCCAAACATTTTAAATTCTAATATGCAGCTTGAAAGTGAAAAATAAGTCTACTACATATATATACATCATGGGTGTGAACTGCAATGCAAGTGGCATCACTTAAGAGTAAGTTTTGACTTTTAAAAATACAGCGTTGTCTTTCTAGCAATGTAATTCTTTCCTCCTCTGACTCACAAGAAAAAAACACACACAAAAAAACCCTCACTTTCAAAAATCTATGTCTTTTGCTATCAATCCTAAGCCCAAACATTTTTATAATGTGGGAAACCAATTATTTGCTTGATTAATCGTACTTTCTTTTACACCCTATATATACATTTATACGATATGGAAATAAAACTGATTAGCAAAGAGATTATCATCCTATCCTATTTGTAACATTTTCTATGCCGTTAGCATGGAACTCAGCACCATGGGCTGGAAGGGTGAAGAAATGCTTCCAAGAGTAATAGTCAAAAAAAGAAAAATAGAAAAAAAAACACCTTTTCTTATAATGTCAACATAAAATTCACTACAAAACCCACAAAAGTCTTATGTTCATTAAAATGTGTCCTAGAAAAATAAAAACCTAAAGGGAAAGGTACCAAAATAAAATCTTTCTTTCCTACTGGTTCTTTCCTATGATTCACAACCAGAAACTACATGAACTGCCCAATGAATAGGTAGAAATCACCTCGAAGTGAATGTCACTTTCCTTGAGATTATGATGACTTGACTTTGGGACTGACTGAAGGAGTTGCAGACCACATGGGCAAACTATATATACACACGTATAATATACCAAGCAATAGTCAGAACCAGACAAGCTTACTATGGTTCAAAAACTAAATAATACCTATGGCTATACAAAGCATCATTCTCTAAACAATTACTAGAAAGTTCTGATTATTTTTTTTCTCAAAGTAGTAATTGCAATGGCAGAGACTATATCTATGTACTTATTATCTAGTACCCACAGAGCCCCAGATTTATAGCTAATAAGTATGTGATAAAAGATTGAAATAGACATAGATATTACTTTAGATACTGTTAAAACTGTGCATTATTCAAAGTGATTCTTTTTAGGGATCTCATTCATTTGTTCATTGTCAAAGGAGGGAAGAATAACATTTAGGGCACCATGACTACTATAGGAGAGGTCTACCCAGTGTAGTGGATATTCTATCCCAGCCAGAGGGAGATGGGGACAGCAACTAAGGAATTGGCTTCTGAACAATTATTAAAGGGTACAGACCTTAAAGATTTAATTTAGAGAAAGCCAGGTATTTCAATATCATGGGGTTTGCCAGAGGAACCATGTTAAGACCTTATAAACAGTAAAGAATTTAGATTATAATTTTTAGCCAATGAAGACCATTCAAGGGTTTTAAGAAACAGACTGAGTAGAGATGATATAGAAGATAGTATGAATGGAGGACAAGGTGAGGGCTAAAAGACAGATAAGAGCCCAATGCAACAGGAGAGAAAGTGTAAGTTCCATGAAAGCAGGAAGGGCATTGATTTTGTACATCACTACATCCCTAGACTTGAGTAGATGTTTCCTTCTATGATCTGAATGTTTATGCCTTTGTCCCCCAGAATTCATATGTTGAAATTCTAAGCCCCAAAGATGAGGAAGTGGGGCCTTTGGGAGGTGCTCAGATCATGAAAGTAGAGCTTTTATGAATGAGATTAGTGCTCTTAGAAAGGAGGCCCCACAGAGCTCTCTAACCCTTGTACTGCCTGAACACTGCACAAAGGCACTGCCATGAACCAGGGAGCAGGCTGCCACTGGACACAACCTTGCTGGTGTCCTGCTCTTGGACTTTCCAGCCTCCAGAACTATGAGAAATAAATTTCTGTTGTTTATAAATGACCCAGTCTGTGGTACTTTGTTAAGCAGCCCAGACTAAGATAGTCCCCAACTATTAGCTTACTAAGTGAATGATTCAGTCCATTGGTGAGAGATGGTAAAGACCTTAATGAAGACAGGAGCCATGGGGCAAGAGTAGAGAGGATGTTTTCGATAGATATTTCTGACACAGAGTTGATAGAATATTGTTATTGATTGAGGCAAAGTGTAAAGTAGAATATGACCTGAGCTTTTAATCTGCCCTTAAAAAGAATTTTTAGTAATACCAAACACCAAAAGCAACGTTAACTTATTTCTTTAAAATACTTCAAAATTGTACCTTATTTCTGAATTGATGGAGAAAAGTTAAATGAATCATTAAGAAAGTTATAATGTTTATAGTGTCTTGAACACGGAATTAGAAGCCAAATGGAAAGTTTTACCTAAATTTGAACACACCCTCCCATTTGAGAGATCAAAAACACTTCATTAAATGGTGACTGCTGAAACATATACGCTATTGAAAAAAGAATATTATTACAAAATATATAGAACCTTCCGTCTTCAATCACCAATTTAGTTTTGAATTTGTTTTAAATAAAGTTGAAACAAGCAGGCCAAAAAATGAGGCAGAATTTATGCCTAATTTAAAACCAAATTCTAGTTTTTGTAAGGCACACAGGGAGGTGAGCAAAAAATTTGCCAAGAGGGAAAAGATGAATCGTGCTAAATACATTTAATTAGCTGCACTACTGTGAATTTTAACCCTACTTAATGAAAGTACATGCCACATCAAAGCAAGATGAAAAGGAACGAAAAGTTTAAATACCTTAAGAAAACCATTAGTATGTAATAAACATACAAATATCAAAATACTGATTTTTTTCAGTAAATGAATGAATGAATAATACCCAAAACTTCTGAGTGTTTATTATATGCCAGGCACAATGTTTAGGTAGACACTTTTTTTCTCCCAATTCACAGATGACAATATTGAGAACCACAAAGAATAATCTGCAAGCAAGTTGCAGATTTCAAATCCAGATTTACAAGGTCATTTTAACCAGTATATGCTAAGAACCTAAAACATAAACTGAAATGTGTAAAATGAAGATTAAAACATCTTAATATTTAAAAGTTAAATTTTTACTACATCATAATAATAATTGCTGCCATTTATTAAGCAATTATTCTTTTCCACTCACTGTACTGAAATGATGTAATGTAATGCCATTTATCTATGAAGGCAGATATGATGGATAGAATGCTCCATTTACAAATGAGAAAACTAAGGCTCAAAGAAAACTAAGGCGAAACAACTTGTCCAGTGTCCCATAGCTGGCAGTAGTAGGGATAGAATTAGAACTGAATGCTATACATCAAGCCTTTCTTCCTCTCCTATGCTAGGAGTTGCTTTTGTAAGGTTGTTTTAAAACTAAGAGTTGACACTAACGTTTCATGAAACACTTTCTAAAGAAGCAGCTACTACTTACTTCTTATATCAACCATTAAACGAATATTTTAAATTGGACACTGAAGTAACCTGGTTTTACCAAGCGCTAGTAACATTTCCAGTCTACATAAGAGAAATGGAGTATTGAATATCCAAATACTTCTAGCATCCAGCACCATTACCAACACCCTAACAAGTGCAAAAAATGTGGAAAAAAACAAATTCTGCTTTTTGTTGTTGTTTTATGTCTGAAATAGCAGGATCCACTCATTCAACAAGGCTTTACTGAATGTCTTGGGTATACTAGGGACCATTTTCGGCATGAACTAGATCTGAACGGTCCAACAAAATAGCCACTAGCCACAAGTGGCTAGTAGATCTTGTAATGTGGCTAGGCTAAAGTGAGATGTGCTGTAAGTGCAGAAGACACACAGGGTTTTAAAGACTTCGTATAAAAAAGAATGTAAAATATTTCAATATTTTTATATTAAGAAAGGAAATGATATTGCGTTGTTGGAAAAGTTATGATGTATTTTTTTCTGTTTTTGTTGCAAAAATGCATCATGACTTTTCCGACAACCCAATATTTTAGATCTACTGGGTTAAATAAAAGAAATTCCCCTGTTTCTTTCTACTTTTACAGCAACTAGAAAGTTTAAAATACATACTCGTGTGGCTGGCATTGTATTTCTGTTCAATAGCACTAACCTAGACCACCAAAAACCTGCCTGCGTGGATCATGTTTTCTCAGTGGAGGAGACATATGATAAATAAGTAACAGGCAAACAATAAAAATA